TTGCCGGATGCCAAAATAATATGAAGTCCACATCAGGCTATATCTACTTGCTTGCTGGGGGAGTTATTTCCTAGAAGAGTGCTAAGCAAACATTCATAACCTCTTTCACTATGGTAGCAAAGTTTATAACCTGTTATGAGACATTCAATCATTGAATATGGTTGCAAAATTTTGTCATTAAACTGCACATTATTGATGGCATAGAAAGACCATTAAAGTTATTTGTTACAGTAAATCTACAGTTATATATTTTAATAATAACAATAGCTCACCAAAGTCAAAACATATAGATATCAAGTTCTTAGTTGTTAAAGAAAAAGTTCAAAGTAATCAGATATAAATAAATTATATTGGACAAACTCCATGGTTGCAGATTTGCTCACAAAGGGATTACCACCTAAAGTCTTTCATGAGCACATTACTCGTATGAGTATAGTACCTTTTGATGATGTATAGTTTCAGTAAGAGTTTTATACCATAGTTGTTTTTATGATCTAGACATGTCATAAATTTTGCATTTTGGATATGGTTTATGTATTTGGTAAAAATTTAAGTTATAATGTTTTAGTTTTTGTTTATATTTTATCTCTGAGTTTTCTTGTAATTGACCTTACTAAGGTTAAGGCATGATTAATTGGAAGTAGGCATGCTTAGATCACATGACATTGTAATTTTCATCCTGTACATCTATACTTGATACATGTCATTCGGTTACACTGAGATACATAATCATTGATGGGTTTAACTACGACAGTTATAGCGAATATTATTTTAATCTTATGTCGTTATGGTTGATAGATGAGATTGTTTGATGATGCATTCAGGTATTGATAATAAAGTTTTAGGTACTCCTACAGTTATTTAATGCACAGGTTAAGGTGACACATAAAGTCCAAGTAGTAAATTATTTTATTTTATTTTATCAACTAATGAGCTTAATGTGGGCCTTGATGTATGTAACAGACTATCAATTTATTTAGTCCATTTAAAAATGATCAATTAGGATTAAACAGTTATAAGCCTTAATGCATAGAGTTTAAGTATGAGTTTGTAATATATACAGATATTATATTTGTAATTTTTTATTTTATGATGGGAAAAATAAGAAATGATAAAAGTTGACAATATATAAGGCGATTATGGTCTTCAAATTATATATGCGTTTTGTTTTATTTCATGTTATTCCGTTAACAGTGAAAATTAGTTTTTACAATTAAATGTCAATTGGGAAGATCTATTGTACTATGCGAAGATTTCTTTCGTTATAGATTTAGATACGTTTCTGTGTTTATTTTTTTTTATATTCAGTATGAGTTTGCTTACAGTTTTCAGATCTGGTTTGATTTGATTTCCATCAATTTATGCACAATAAACCCACAAATAAGTCCACACAGTTTTTTAAAACCTAACACTTTGTGCCTCCTTACCTCAACCATTATGACATGGTACGGATAGTAGTCAACCAGATGTTAGTTTTTATTTTCTTCTTTCCCTTACTTTAGCATAAAAGAATTTTAGGTTTTAAACTTTTGCTTAAATATCCTGATATTTTTATAGAATAATGAAATGTTTAAACACTTTGCACATCTATTATAAATTCATAAATCATTTTGAGGATTATTTTTTGTTATTTGTAAATGAATTATCTGACGTATAATGTCATGCACAAAAGATAAAATAAAAGCTAATAATTATTCTATTTCATCAAGAGTAAAGCTAATAATTATTCTATTTCATCAAGAGTGGTTCTTTAATTTCTTTTCTTTTTTAATTTCCTTTTGGACCATAATTCGATGAAGAGTTTTTAACCTAATATTTACTCTAGGCTATAATCTATGGTATCTAATTCTTCAATTCTTCATATTCTATGAACTTGAAGTAGTTAGATTCATTCTTATACTAATAAATTTCAATAAAATCAAAATTAGATTCAAATAAGTACTTTTTTTTTTATTGGTTTTGATCCTTAAAAGTCGAAGATTTTTTCTTTCTTATTATTCACGAATTTGCACTTTTATGTTAGTTCAACTATAAAAATCCTTTATTTGTACTACGTATTTCCAAATCATCCACAAAATGTGAATATTTTTAATTTGACCAATATCTTTTTATAATTAATTTAGAAAATCTAAAAAAAAAAAAAGAAAGACGTTTACTAATTATAGAAACGACATAATTTATTGTAGTTATCATTATTTTAAAAAAAAATAGCCTCGTTTGTTAGAGAAATTAAATTAGCCGAAATATCACCCAAAAGAGAAGATGGTGATAAATTGGTAAATATTTTATAACTAGATAAAATATGTAAATATGATTAAAAAAAAAAAAAAAAAGGATAGAGAGATTGCAATAAAATATTTCTAGATATTCATCCACCAATCTTCTCTTCATGCAATGTGTGCAATATATTTCATATAAAAATTAGTTGATGAGGGATTTAATTCACTATATAATGTTCTTTCTTTTTTTTGCTCCCTCTCTGCTGAAGAGATTTACCTCGCATCTTTTACAAAGTTTATACAAATATTTAAAGAAGAAACTAAAGGCTATCTTTCTCAAATAGTGTATTATAAATGAAAACTAAATTTTAAGTTTTTTTTTTTTAATGCGTATTATAAAAGTTTTTATTTTGATCTTCTTCAAAATCATTGTATAAATATATAAAATCATATTATTTTAAGTCTCTAATGCATTATATGATGGTTTTTAGTACTGTAAATATTTTGTTTATCATCCAATAATTTTCAATTTAACTAATTACTCAAAATTTATTAGCATAAACTTATATTATGTCATTTATCAAAATTATATGGACGTAGCCCATTTTTTTATTAATAAGAAAACATCAATCCTTTTAGCCTGCCTAATTTACTCAGTGAAGAAAGGAAGTGTACAAATATGTTTATTTTAATAAATATAATAACTAAAAATTAATTAA